AAGGATGTTACCTTAAAATTCCTGCTTATAGGAAATGTTTCAGCAGTAGGTTACATCAATTTTTGATACTTCTGTGGAGCTGGGGTGGCTTGCCTTTGGATGTCTCCCAGACACTCACTCACCCAGCTGCTCTGTCACTCCCATCACAAGGAATTAGTAGTTTCCACTTTGGGATGCTAATGCCAGGATTTGCAATGGGTACCTGTCTAGAAACAGGTATTACAGATATTTGCTGTTAGGAAGTAATTTTCAAGGTTAGACACCAGACACTCTAATGTCAGGAGGCCCTGAAGGCAGACAAGTTCTGCATTCCTTCCTCCAGTGCTTTTCGGCTGGTTTTCGTACTTCACTCAAAAGCTCCATGCTTTCGTGTTAGTGTTTCTGCTTGTACTTACCCTTCTCAGCCCATTCTGCTTTGAGCACACTCTAATGTTTTCTTGCTTATGGGCAGTGTTGAGATGTTCCAGTGCTACAAGAAAGCACAAAGCTTTGTCACCTCCCAGAGACAAAGGGAAAGTGTCTGCAGGCAGATGAGTGAAATGGAAACATTGGCAGGTCTGAGCGCTTGGTGAGCTGTGGTCCTGGTGACTGTGCAGTTTGCGCCCCACAGGGCTGACCCTCCCTAGCTCGCTCACATTTGTTCAGACTTTCTGGTCCTGCCTTGTCCTGTGCCATCAGCACCGTCAGGGTCACAGCCAGGAAAGTATGAGTGTTCTTATGAGCTGAGCAGCATACAATTTGAGGAAAGATGTCCAATTTCCTGGAAATCCTGTGCAACGTGAAAGGGGTATGATCTGCGTGTGTGTATGTGGCTGATAGAAGTAGACCAAAAAAGTGGATCTTCCGAGTTCCTGAGTGTTGACGCATGCCAGGGCCAGTTTGACCCTTCCTTGCCATGATTCACGCTGGTGCAGGATTCACACCAGTATATTTCTCTGGATTAGAATGCCCTCAAAAAGTCTTTGTCCGTATTCCACGACATCTCGTGGAGCTTGTGCTGCTGTTCAGTGGAGGTTTTTTTGCAGAGTTGAGGTGCTGCACTACAGTTTCAGTGACACATTTCTTGCTTTGTTTGGGATGCTTTCCTAAACAGGTCATTTGTGTTTGTAAGCATGAAAGAGAAGATTTTAGTGCTTAACTATATGTTGTATTTATATGAGTGTCCATTGTTTTTCAGAAACTTTCAATTTACTTTAATTTCTGATCACTTTTGTTCATATAACTAAATACGGAATGATGTTTTACTTTTTGTTCTTGACTCATTTTTCAGTGACTCCCTCTTCTCGTGCACAACACATACACCCAAGAAGCTTAATTTTCAATCTAACCTATTGGCAACTCAGTTGTAATTACAATAGGAATTTTAATCCTCTGTAAAGAGGACTGATGGATGTGTAATTAAGTAATGACAGTCTGTGGGACAATTGTAGCAAAGTGAAAGCCATAAAAATTCGGAACAGCTGAGGTGGAACTTCATGGCTTCCCTGCCGAACCTGGACGAGTCAGTTCTGCTGGGCTCATAAAGTTGAGGAGATAGTTGGAGATCTTGAGAGAGGACAATGCATTTTGAAGTGTTGGGGAAGAACAGGAGGAGTAGAGGCTGTGAACTGGGGGAAGATACTGTTATCACCATCTGATCTGATGATGATGAGAATGAACCTCCCCTGCAGACCTGATCTCAGAGCCCAGCTGCTGGTGAATGGGGCTATCCTTCTCTGTAACCCTGAGCTCTTCCCTGAACAAGTGTCCCTTGGCAGCAGTAGCAGAAGTCCCAATTCTCATGGGCAGATAGAAGGACCAGTGTGGGCTGGGTTGCTCTGGGAAAAGGAGCAGGGCCAGCAGGCCACGGGTCTGCTGTCCCTTTGACAGGCAGGTGTCCAGTACTAACAGGATGACTTTTCCTGTGCTAGCCTGACCCAGAGAGCTGCTTGTGGACAAGCTGGCCTCTCAGGGACCAGGGACCTCTCAGGGAGGAGTGCTCTTCCTGGTAGCCATGGTGTTTCCTTCAAGAGCTGAGCAGGCAGGACACAGAGCTGTCTCCACGTTCTCTGATCCTGTTGTCTTTGTTTGATGAACTCTGATGGAGTTAATGAGGCTGCAGTGAGCTGAGCCAGCCTGGGCTGGCTGGGGGTTGATCCTCTGTTGTGCCAGGCTTGCTTGGTGTTGTCTGCTGGAGTTTTCCACAGGGTGCTCTGCCTGTTTTACAGAGAATCTCAGCTGTGCTCTGGCATCTTGGTGTGAGGGAAGGGTGAATATGTGGAGGGACAAGGAGTAAAACTGAATTTAACCTACAGTCTTCAGGGACACGGGTTATCATCAATGACAATAGGATATCATAATGAGTCCCTACAGCCATCACACTGTGGCATTAGGCTGCTACTAGGACAGAGCAGTGTGTCAGGAGCCTGTTCCTCACTGTCACACTGAGTGCTGGATTTAGGCCATCTAAAATTAGCCTCTAGCCCTAAAACTCAATCACACACCTGAATCTTCCTACAGCTGCCTTAATGCTGCCTGCATGCAGGGTCATAACCCTTTTAGTTATACGAAGAACAGTGACTTTTGAAATGGTTATATCCATTTTATATCCATTCCCACATCTTGAAATACCCCTACCTGTTCTTTTGTGCATCTGTCCTTTTAGCTTTGCTGCCTTTTACTGTGTAGAAATCTCAGATCACTGCAGAGTGAGGGTGAGTAGCTCACCTGTACAGATGCAGCTGCTGTTGAAAAGCAACCTGAGTAAATGTGTTACAGTTCTCCTAAATACTGAGATAAGCACGTGGGTTTAAATAACAGGTAGTTCTTGATCTGCCATAGCATTTCCAGTGACTCAGTGTTCCCTCCCACCTTTCTGCAGCAATTACAGAAGATTGTTGCAGTTCCTGACTCAGAGGAGACTTCCTTCTAAGCCTTCTGGCCATGCTGGACCTCCAGCTCTGGACTTGTACGGAGCAAATTGTGAGGGGCATCAGGGTAGCAGGCCCCAGGACTGCAACAAGAATTGTGTGGGAGTAGTGTATGTTATGAGCTAGTGATAGCAAGCCATAAAAAGAGAGTTTGCTTTGGATTTGTGGTCAGGAGTTTGGTTGCCAGAATCTTGGCCATGATGCTCATATCTCTTGAAACTGTGTGCTTACAAGAAAGACATTCCAAGGTACAAATCTGATGGCTTCTCTGACAGGATAGTCTAGGAAACTACCAAGTGTAAAAATTAAAAAGGGCTCAGTATCCTATGACCCAGATTTATTGTGGATAAAGTGTCTTCCTGCAGATTGTGGGAGCACAGGGCATGAGGCTTTGGGGGCAGGCCTGGGGATGGGCTCAGCTGTGAGTAAGGTTATGAGAGCTGCAGGGAAGGGTTCCACAAACTCCATGAGCCCCATCATTCTCCCCCTAGGGGGGAATTCAGCAGGCACTGCAAGTCAGTATATCACATATGCATTGACGGTCTGCAGCTGCGTTGGCCGCTCTGGCAGCCACTGAATGGCAGCGGGGACGTGCTGCCAAATGTGACCTGACAGCCCTGCCCAGAGTGTGCTCAGGGCTGCAGGGGAGGCCAGCAGAAGAGGACCAAAGGGCTGAAATCTCTGGTTTCCCTCATGAGATGTCAGATCTGACAGGCACATCAATAGGTTTTGATTGGTTTCATGTTCATGCAGCTTTCATTTGTGATGCAGCTCTTCAGATTTAGTAGAGCTGCACTCTTGGTGCTGCTGCAAGCAGCTGTGCACAGCTGGCCATCAGGTCTCTGCTTGTAAAATATGTGTGAACGTTGTCTTGCCATCAGCAAAGTGTATTCAGAAGGAGGTCTGTGGAAGCTGGGCCAAGTTTCTTAGAGATGTGGATAGATTTTTCTGTGCCTTAAATACAGTAGTGAACCCCACTGTCTGTGCTGAGGTGAGTAAAATCTGCAAATAGGCTTTGTATTGTTTCAGCTTAAGCACAAGGATATTCTCTTTAATTGCTTTTTCAGTGTTTCTGTGTAAGAATGAGGGTCTTGAGATTTTTTTATGATTATGGTGCAGTGTTTTCAAATGCTTAGGCCAGAAAGCATTACATGCAGACATAGCATTTCCATCTGCTGCTCATCAAAGAAGAGAAATTTCATTCCCAAGCACTGCTGTGATGTGTAGTGAAAACATGGCTTTGGTGAGCATCTCTCTGTCAAAGTGCTAGTGCACTTAGTTCACAAACATCAGTTAAATGCCTCAGAGGTCTATGAAATAAATAGAAGAGCTGGATGCCAGGAAATGGGATGCACAAAAGCTACTTTTTGGCATCATTAAGGCAATGCAAAGAAGAGTGCTGTGCATAAAATGCTCTTACTCATTTGATTTTAAGCTCCAGCCCTGTGTGAAGTAGCACATGCAAGCTGAAGTCCTTTCCTTCACCATCCCTCTTGGCAGTTCATTGTCTCAGTGACGAGAAGGTGGAGTTCATGGTAGCCACCACCAGCATTACAGACTAAATGTTTGAAGTGCTTGCCTGGAAAGTGGGAGTCTGTTCTTGTCTTGCACTGCCTAGGGGAGTTTCCAAGTCACCAACTGGAATAGAAAGTGGGAGTGGAGACACTCACTGAAACTGTGTGGGTGCAGTGAAGACTGAAGGATCCCATTTGGGTGGGAGTATGAGCCTGAAACTCATTTGAAAAGGCAGAGTGATATATACATATACATATATATATATATATATATATATATATATATGTAATGCCTCATCTGTGTGTGTTTTGTTTTTGTTTGGCTTTTTTTTTATTTTGATGTTAAGCAGCCTGACTGAGGTGCTTTTTGCCAGCAAGGTGAATGTTCTCAGAGAACTCAGCCAGTTCAGGTCTCTTTGTAAATTTTGAATGGCCTGAAGTTGAGACTGGCTCCAAGATGTTGAGTAGTACATTTGGGTGTGCAGGTACTTTTATGGATCTGAGATGTAAATTTTCAAAGCAATGGAAGTGACTGCATGGCTTGTACAAAGTTTCAGCTGCCAATTTCTCTTTTCAGGCTGAGTTGCACCATTAATGACTGAATGGACTCTGCTGAGAAGGCTTGTCCTGACACCATGACAGCTGATGAGTCAGAAGCTGGAGAGTTAGCTCTGGAGCCTCTCCTCACGTGCAAGCTATGTCTCTGTGAATATTCCCGGGATAAGATGACCACTCTTCAGGAATGCAACTGCGTCTTTTGTACAGCGGTAAGATCTGTCAGTGCCTTTACATTACAGAAGCAGGGTAATGGAAGATGGACAGAGCTGTGAGATGGGATTGCTTGTCTTGTACAAGCATGTGTTACACCTGTGCTGACACAGGGTGCTTTTCTAAAGAGCATTTGGTGTTAGCCTGTCTTGCCTTATTTACAAGATTTCTCTTGTCATTTTACTTTTGATGATTTGTAACTAGTATATGTTCCCATCGCAAGCACTAGTAAAAAGTATAAATAAAAGGAAATAAGATGCAGTTTGAGTGTTGGAGAACATACACAGTTTGCATGTAATCTCAGTATTTACTTGTTTCTGAAGCAAAACCTTGAAATATCATAGGATAGCTGTGAGCTTTTGTTTCCCTGCTATCCTTTTCTGAGTTCTCACGGACCTTTAAAGTCTTCTATGTAACTTTTAAGGACAATCAGAAAACTTAAACAAAAGTGGCCTTTTGAACCTTTGCCTCTGTGCTGCAGAGATGTTGCTCAGGTCACGCATTGCCTATAGTAGTCAGTAAAGACTTTTTGGCCTGCAAATTCAGATCAAATAAAGCTGGTGGAAGTGATAGAGGGAGAAGTTGAATGAGCTGATAAAAGCCCTACAGACAGTAGTACTCTTCTGGTCTCTTTGTCAGCATAGGAAAAATGGACCTTGTTTCTCTGGTGGTAGTGACTTTGAATTACCTCACTAATGCTAACTAAAGTACCTCACCTGAAAACAGGTCAGAAGTCACTAGAGGATGTTGGTGTGCTGCTTTTTGTTGTTTGTTTTTTGTTTGTTTGCTTGTTTTTTTTTATTTTTGGGGGGGGGGTTGGGGTGGGTGTTGGTTTGGTTTTATTTTAAACTCTAGAAAAAATGTACTTGATTTTATTTTTAAAAAATTGTGGATAAACATCAAGCAAGTATGTTTAAGTTTTACCCTTGCTTGTTCGAATTCATGAAGAAATTGGATATTTGTGAAGCCCAGCTAGGGTGAGAATATCTTGACTTACGCTGAATTCAGGGTAGCTTAAACAGGGTGAGAATCTAGCTGTGTATTTCAAGAAACAAAGATAAGATTGGTTAATATGCATTTCAACCTGAACTTAATGAAGTTTGTTTTCCATACTGACTTTCACCAAAGATTTCTGTATTTTAGTTTGTAACAAAACTTTGAAGTTCATGTAACCTAAAAGGTAGATATGAAAATACTGCTTTAAATAAAAAAACCCCAGAAAATGGGAGAAGTTGATGCTTTTACAGTGGTCCCACTCCTATGCCAAGAACTCAGAGTGTCTGATTTAGTATTAATGGTACATGAACCTCAGTGCTAGCTGGGTGGAGTAACCCTCAGGGAAGCATGGGCTGCTGAGGACTGTGCCAGGCAGAGCTGGACTCTGCACTCCAGCAGGGCACTGGCCAAAGGGAGAGGTCAGGGATGGCTGGGAGTGTTGTTGTGCCTGCATGCCCCCTGTCAGTGCCACAGCTGCCATCACATCCATACACTCCTTCCCTGCCCAGCACCAGGAAGAGTCTCCTGTGAGCTTGGTGCTCCAGTGCTGTGGCAGTGTCAAGGAAGATGCAGTCACAGTTACTTGGCATCTGTGCAAACTTTGCTGACTTTGAACCAAGAGCCAGCCATGGGTGAGCCTGAATGCAGCTGGGAGAAGCCTTTAGACACGCTCTATTTGTTTCAATGGGCATAATATGTCTCAATTGTGTTCGTGCTCCCAAGTCCAGCGTTTGTCTGACTGTTGCCTGTGTCCCAGTGTCCTCCCGATGGATGTGTCTGGGCTGATGCATGCCCAGACATGTAGATCTTGCATCCTGTAACAATGAGGGCTCTGGAAACTTTTAACCTGGCTATATGGCTCTCTGTCTTGAAGCCAGAGCAGTTTCTGGGAGGCCATATGAGTTGCATTTTTGGGCAGCCTCCAAAAAACAGTGTCAGGAGCAGCTTGACATGGAGTGCCGGGACTTACATGGGGGATTGCTTGGGGCACAGCCTGCAGCAGCTCTACTGTTGTGCCATGCCCTAAATTTCCCCTCACCCATGCCAGGACATCTAGACATCTTCACATTACACTTAAGAAAGATTTTGGGGTAAGAATATCCACTGTGAGCTCTGGGATTGAGCACCAATCAGTTTTGCAGTTTTTCAGCTAGCAATGCTCTCAGCTTGTATAGCTTATTCTTCTGTCACTAAGGGTAATTTTATATATCCAGGAGTAGTATTAAACTTAAAATAGAAAAGGGCTTGACATGGAAATAATAGGTTCTGCTCCAATAAGTTGAAACCATTGTTTTTGTTAACTTTTTGTTCTGTTACATGTGAAGTCTTCTGTTTTTTGGTTTTTTTTCCTTCCTAACTGTAATGGTGATGCTGCAATGATGATTATTTTTCATAGTATTTGTGGCTGTGGAAATAATTGGAAATTGTTACTGTTTAGAAATCTGTGGGGGTGAGGTTATATTTCCTTTCCATTTGTAGACTGTAAAACCAGGGCATTCAGACAACTTAGAATTGTGTACGGCTATTTTTTTTTCATCTTAGAAACTCTTGCAGTAAACAAAATACCCCATAAAAGCTGTGTTCTAGCCAAAGTAAGTAAACTGTGCTTTAGCATGTGTATGTTTGCATTTTGGTGGAATGTTGCTAGTAGGGCAGGAGTTTTTCAAATAACTGTAAACATTTTTACTCTCTCTCTTCTCAGCAGAAAAAGCAGATGGCTTGCAGAACATACTTGCCATCTTACTTGGTAGCTCAGTCAGGTCTGAAGAGGCACGAGCCTTGTGTTTTTCAACATGTGTTGCACTTGGCATAAGATTCCACTGCAGTGTGAGATAAAGCACACACACATCCCAAGAATTTGGAAGTGGCTGTAATGACTTGGTTTCATTGTGTTCGGATTTACATTTGTTTTTAATGAAAGACTGATCTCTGAAGAGGGTTGGGAAGAGATGTGAGATATATTTTCTCTGTGAAAGTTTTAGAGGACTGAACTTTACATTATTCAGTTCATTTCCTGTGTCTATAAAATCTTTGCAGAGTGCCATGCTGTAGTGCGCACTTTTACATATGGATATTCAGCAACATCTGTACTGATCAAGTGCCACTATTTTATGGTCCCTTTGTCACCTTTACTTATCCCTTTCCCAAAAGGGAAGGGGGGGTCTCATCTGTTCCTGATAGTGCTCATCTTGTTCCTTGTCTTCCCACTCATCCTTGTATATTTGGTGGGGATGTCCTTCTTATCAGCAGGCCCTTACATTTACCTTATGTTGCAATTTTCTCTTCCTTGGATGTGCAGCTGCTCAGGTTTTTGCCCCCATGGTGGTCATGGTGCTCACATATGTATGTGAAATAATTATACACTGTGTCTGTCCACACCATTACAGTGTTAAAAAATACAGTATTTTATTGCACTTTAGTGCATCTGGTTCCAAAGTAAACTAACTAATTACTTCTTGATTGATCCACTTACAGAATAATCCTTTGAATATTATACTTACTTCTGATAAAAGTCCCTGAATGTTTGCCCTTTTCCTTCCTTCCTTGCCCAGAGAGCTCTCACAGTGCCTCACTCAGGTAAGGCTCCGGAGTGCTCTGGTGAGGCAGTGCCAGGAATGGATGGGCCACCCTCCCCACCCTGCCTTTGCACAGTGCACTGGGTGTTGCCTGGGCTTTGGTGCTCATTCGACAGTCTGGAAAGTGTGCATCTAGGAGACTCCTGCCTTTTCAAAACATGGCTGAAACTGGGAAGGCAGCAGGGAGAGACAGAGAGTGGTGTGATCATGTGCACCTTGCATTCCCTGGGCTAGAACTGCCCTGGTGTCTGGCACAGCACACTCTAACCTTTGGACGTGCTAGAGAGGAGTGCAGGACTGGCAGTAACACTGGAAATACCAAGGGCCCTATGAAAGACTCCACGTGAGTCTGTAGCCTGTAAGCAGTTGTGGAGGTGAGGTTTTAGCAGGTGGGGTAAGATTGCCCTGGTGACAGTGGTGACAGGAGGAACCAGTGCACTGCTGTTGCAGAAACATGGTCTTAGGGGTCAGTAAAAATTACCAGAGTTGGCTTTACCCTGCACACCAATTCTTTCTGGTTTTGTCTTTCCTCTTTTCTTTGCTACCTCTTAAGCATTTCAGGGCCTCAGTGAGAGCCAGGTGAGCAATAAATGGGCTTGCTGCTATTTATGTCAAGCAGCAGCTTATGTCCATCTGTCTTGCGTTATTTACTGGCACAGGGTGTGAGATGTCGAAGACAATGTGTAACAAACTGAAAACAGAAAATGCTTTCATGTATGTTATTCTGTGTTGTTGGCACAGGTTTATGCAGAACTAGCATGATTCACCCTTTCTTTTTCCCAAGCAAATTCTTTGTTGAGTCTTGTACTTCTGAGAAGTGTGTGAGGCAACTGGGTTACAAAATGCGCAAAACAAATACCATGATGATCTACCTGTTTGTTAGTTTGGGGCACACAATGCAGTCCAAATGAGATTAAACTTCAATGCAACCTTAGAAGAAGCAGGAGTCAGCATGCAAGCCCAGGTAGCTTCTGTGCTTTCTTGTGCTTCTACAAGTAGGCAGTGTTCCAAAGGCAGTTGGAGAGCAAGATTTTCTGCTGCAGTGGTGTATGACAGCAAGGCTAGGGCTAGGCATGGGCTCAGAAGGCTCCTTTGCTGCCATGGGTGGTGTGGTGCCATGGACAGTCAACTGCCTGGGCCCTGGCGGGGCTTCAGCCTCAGAAAGAGGCTGCTGATGGCTGCTTCTACTAGAGGAGGAGAAGAAACTGTTAGAGAAATAGGAGTCTCTCTGTTGGTACTTCATCAACAGCAGACTCTAAGGCTCCTCTGCTTTCCTTAATGTTTTCAGGAGCAGCTGTGCATTGTCCTGCCTCCTTTGGGTGGCTGAACAGTGACATTTGGCCCTTAGTGCCGTGAAGTTTCAGATTGTTTGTGGAGGGGGGCACTGGGAAAATGGAAAAACTAATATGAGGGGTCTTTACAAAAAA